ACACAAGAATTAATTGTTGCAACAATAAATGACACAGCTGATCATTAATTTAAACATTTGCTAAATAAAGTGTTTTGATTTGATTTGTAGACCTTTTCTTCAACGCAAGATTTGTTTCAGTGGTGAATACATCCAGGAGGCGCATGGTGTAAGGGTTATCTTGTCCAATCTTTTATTAAAAAAGGACATAGTTGTGTGAGCCAGTCAAAGAATGCACTAGTGTCTGAAATTCTATTTTCTACGTATTCTTTGTTGCTGACCAAGTTGACAGGTCGTAATAATTGGTATAGCTCACAATGACCCGGGGCAGGCCGTTGTACACGAGGAAAATAGTGACATCCAGTATCAATAGAGAGTAGTGGCCTTCAGTAAATATCCATGTATTGTCCTCCTTTATAGAGGTAGTTGATGCTTCAACGGCCAGTACGTAGTGGCAGCCAGGAAAGTCAAACATGTTTGCTTTTAGTGGATGTTGAGCGTCCAGTAAAAGGTCACGTGACCTAGTGGCGGCCATTACTGGACGTGTCTTTTAAGGAACTCACCACCAGTAGCTCACTGGACTCTGTAGGGAAATGTTGTTTGTGTGTGTCCTGCGGTTTTGTTATTATTATTTATATGTGAGATTTAATGTGTATAGTGTTATATATTTATTATTTCATGTGAGTTTAGTAGTTTGTGACGGTAATTTCCCTAACAGCCTCATCAACGGCTTCCTCATACTCCACAACACCATCCATTCAAAAGTTATAATGTTTTTAGCGTCACTTTAACTATAAAAAATAACTTTATCCTCACATGTCTGACACCGCAGATCTACTGGCGTTCACTAGGACAGTTTCAGTGTTTTTTGGTGTTCTGACTGTCAAATTCACTGGCAGCCACTGCCGCTACTGAATGTCACTATTGTCCTCGTGTACAACGGCCTAAGTCATTCCATTAGTTTGACCTGGTAAGAAAGTTTGCGTATTAAACAATCAGTAATTTAGATCAGCACTCTGTCAGTGGCTCACATCAATTACGACGATTTTGATACAAAAACTGGTGACAAATTTAACACGGGGATGGAATATCTAGTTTTATCAACAACAAAAATGTAAATAAACTATTTACATTATTAATTGCGTTATTAAATGTGTCACTCAAGCGGAACGCTGTACCTTCTTGACAAGAATAATTACACGTTATCATCTCATACATTTCAATATGATTAGTCCTGCCCAAACACAATGGCAGTGTTTATGATGACCAAATAAAACTACATTTTAAAGTCCCCTGATCGTAGCAAACTTTTCACACCCCGCACAATCGAAATTCGTCCACACAATTTGTAAAAATATAAGTGCGATTCTCTCAACGAAGTCCTGGATCCATCTCTAGTTTGTTCAGTTTTAATAACAAAATTATGCAAGGTGTTGATTATACATATTGCTACTAGCTCATCTATATATTGAATACGCTAAGCATATTTTTGTCATAATTGTTTTGGAGTGGTGGTGCTACCGATCACCATGTTCAAGGTGTCGTTAGAAAGGTCTTAGCATGTAGTTTTGCCATCAAACAAAAAAACTTTGGAATTCCATCAGGGCTCTGCCCCAGTGGCCTTCGAAGTACCCATGTTATTCTTATGGAGAAAATGTTAGTTTGAAATTGACACTAATATTTGAAACACATGGTTATACTAAAATTTTGCACAAAATCAAAACATGACCAAAAAAATGTTCGACATAATGGAGACTATAAGACGTTGACCAGGACGGCCAATAGGAGGAGGCCGACGAACTTTAACTGGTAGACGCAAACGAAATACAAATAATACTATTGTCGTTGATAGCCGAATACAGCAAGCACCCTTCCGTGCTGGGTTTAAGTGTGCTCTCCAACAGTCGCCAGAAGATTTCACATTCAATTTAGGACTGTTGGGTAATCGCTGCATAAGCTGTTGATTTTGGAATACAATGAGGAGGGTAGGACTAATTTGAAAACAGATGAGAATAGCATTAGCACCAGCAAATTCCAAATTTTTTCTAATTTTGTAGTAGCCATTTTTTGGCATGCTTCGTGGTACTCAACTAAGCAACTGTGATAAAACATAACCCTGTTAAAACAAACTTATAAACACACCCTTTCCATTTGCATAACAATAAGACGTTTTAAATAACGGAAACGGACGTACCAACTGATTAGTTTTACACCATTCTAGCTTTTTTAATAACCCTGTATTTTAGAGAACTTTAATTCATAATTTAAATTAATACTTGTACTTAAGCTAAATTTACATCAGCACGCAAAAGTTACATGGCTTTCAAGTGGCCAAAAAATAGTCTTCTTAAACCTCAGATGACGTGCCACTTTTAGTGAAGATATTTCAATTTTAGTGACTGGAGTCATTCGAGCTGACACCACTAATATTTGTTCCATCAACATTAAGCAGACAATTGTGAACACTAAGGATTACATCCACCTGGCAAGGGTTGGTCAAGTCTCTAAAACTATTTTAAGACCGGAGCATTACAAGAATGTATCTAGGACAGGGAAAAGGGTGCAAGGGAGGGGGGTGGCGGGTATTTTTTACTTATATTTCACGAGGATGGAAATACAAAGATGGCCACTAGCATTCTTAAGCTTATATTTTACAACAATAATAAAGTACGGGGGCCACGAGGGTATGCAGTTGAGGGAGGAGCCTATTTACCACTTGAATTTGTAGGATCCAATGAAGACCGTGTGGTTTTGCCAAATAATACCAGCTGATGTGAAAATATTGTTTCGTATATTTTAATTAGTGTTGAAAATTAGTGAGCAGGCGATGTTGCAACGTCGCGCTAGTTCAGTCTTGCTATTGGCTGCCGCCAACTGTGGACTCTCATGGCCTTGAGTGTAAGTTAGTAAACCATTTAATTTCAAAACCCAATATTTGTAGGGACCTGTAAATCCTTTGTCTGATGGCAGTAATCCCTAGTGTCCACAATTGCCAGCCTTAATGATGTGTCTGCAATATTCCGTTTCCGCAATCGCCTGCCTTAACCACCACAATTAATCACCAGCCCAAGTCACTTGATTTGAGTGGCTCAAGAACATTTTTAGTAGTATTTTGAAAGTTAGACTCTTTCTTATACAGTAGACCTCCTCATATCCAGCCTTGGTTATACCGGTCCTCTGTTTATCCGGCCTCTTCCAAGAACACATTATTAAAATGTTTTTCTTACAGCTTACAGACATTTAGATGCAAGCACTAGTCTTTATGACTGCTCAAGTCATCAAATAAATTGTTCTCACTGTTTATCTGTTTGATTATACATTTATTAGCTGTGTCACTATACTCAGTTGAGCTAGTATAGGCCTAACCTCTGATGAGTTGGTTGATCACCGGTATTTCCAAAGCGGGGTTAATACAGTACAAGTACATTAATTTTTGTATTTCACAAAATGGATAAGAATGCTGAATTGAAATACACGTACCATTTAAGTCCTAATGATCTTCAAGTCCAATTTATTGTCATTTTTTACACCATTTAATATTTTTTGTTACCTGGAATCATAGTATTTGTGCATGCTTCATTACTTTACAACTTATACCTACAAATAATTCTTTTCTTTTTAAATTTTTTTTTAATAATCCCAGAACAGACTGGAATGATACTTTTGACTGCTATATTGATTACCTATTATTATTAGGTATGAATTGCCTTCCCATGGTGGCCGGATATCAGGGATTCTACTGTATGATGTTTGCAATATAAGCTATCAGAACACCAAGCTGTAACGACCTTTACGCCTCTTTCACACGACGCGGCGCCCGCCGGATCCGGCGTAGGGCTATGGGAGTATATGAGTCCTTTTATACTATGTCCGGCGCGCGCCGCGCGGCGAATTCGCCGCACGGCGCGCGAGTTACCGCCGGATGCACCTTGAGCCGGACGATAGCGCCGCGCGGCGTCCACGCCGCACAATTCGGTAAAGGTGCATTGGTTCTTATGGGAGCTTTCACACGGTGCGGCGCGCGCCGCACGGCCCAACCCCTACGCTGTCTCAATTTAGGCAAACTACCTGACCAAGAGGGTGCAACAGTTAATTAAGAAATTATATATCGTTGTATCGGAAAATAATATATTTATTAACAAAATATATTAAGTTATTACAAAACATATATTTTTATGTTCATCCCATGCAAATCGGCCAACTTAAAGTATCAAAACAAAATTTTTCTTTTAATAACTAGAGGAGAATATTTAGTATTAAATTAATAATTTAGTAATTTATACGCAATGAAACATTTATATAATACGTGAAGGCGATTTCTACAAAATACTACTCCTCCGTTAATAATGGACGGATTTTTACAAACGATGTGTCAAAATTAAGTATTGTTTGTGTAGATGCCCCCTTTCACCAATTCCTGTAGTAAAAGTCCTCGGGCTTTGCCCCTCAGGCCATCAAAATCCCAATGTATATCTTATGAAGACAAGATTTTGTTTAGTTAAATTACTCTGAGGTTAAACAGACAAATAATTTGTATTAATTACAGCTGTTCATAGTACACACATGATACACACAAGAGTTTTCGTTTTCAGTTTCGATAGATGGAGTGGAGTGAGCGTTCGTTTTCAGAGTGAGTTCGTTTCCAGTTTCGATAACTGGAGTGGAGTGATTAGTTACATTATCTTTGACTTTACTCTCACACGTCAACGGAAATTGTGACAATTATTCGTAAAAAAACTCCTTTAATATTTTGCAATTGCTCAAATTCGAGCAACAGGTGCACTAGTTTATTAAATTTAAAATTAGCCCATTCATTTTATTTCAACTTTTAAGTGGAGTATTCATTTAAAAGCCACAACTGAACAGAAAATAATAAATATTTAAGAGTGCCGTACGGCGCGCGCCGCACGAAACCGTACTAGTGTGAAGACACACGCTTGTCCGGCGCAGCGCCGCGCGGCGGACGCCGTACGGCGCGCGCCGCTTCGTGTGAAAGAGGCGTTAATCTTACTCTTACATCTTTATTTCTCTTCTTCTCTTCTAATTATTAAACTATAGTGCTGTATTAAAACATTGCTGTACTCACATTTTTTCGTCCATCCCTTGTGCCCTTTCCTGCGTCTGCCTTTTCCTTTACCTTTACCTTTTCCCCGTCTTTTGGATTCTGTCCCGTTATTATTCATGTCTTCTTCTATTTGTATGTCTGCGTCTGCTATTTCTATTTCTTGAACTTCCTCCTCAAAGAACATCAGATCACCTGGTTCGTTTGGTTGATCCACTATCTCCTCGATCCAAACTCCTGAAAAAATATTAAACTTTTTTTAAAGTAGAGCATAAATTGTGGGTTCTTGTAAGTTTTGATTCAAAACGTTTGATTTTTTCATGTGAATGTTTTTCATATTTATATACTTTCATGTGACAGTGATACTCAACTTTTTTAGAATTAGTTCTCAAACCTATACGATTAGGTTACTGGCGACCGTTTTTCAAACTAGCCTTTTCAATTCAGTTCATAGAACTGAAAGGATTCACTTTAAAGTATTGTTTTGTTACTTTACAGTACCATATCCACTACCATATGCAAGTTACAGTACAAGTTTCAACCAATGAGGTTCAAGAATTAAGAGAAAAGAAGTAAAACTGCAATCAGAGCCGTATTTCCCTCGGGGGCCTCGGCCTAGGAGGGGGCTTCACTATGGGGCCTCAATCTTTTTCCTTGATAAATGTATTTTACTGATAATCTCTTTCGCCACCATCGCGGGAGATGTTGATAAATGAATAAATAAAAATGTCTTTATTAAGCGTTTCTCTGGTACACCAGCTTTTCAGAACAACTTTTGTCACTATGCTAAATATCTTATTCTACTATTTGGTCGTTAAACACTTATACAATAATAACTCAATTTTTTAAAACATATCCTTAAGTTTTTCTTTAAATGTTTTGCTAGATGCAACAACCTTCAGGCCGTCGGGTAAACCATTGTACAAAGAGGGACCAAAATATGAGAAGCTCTTCCTCCCAAGCTCAAGAGAAACTCTCGGGAGGTGAAGCCTCCCACCCTGACGTGTCCTGCGCTTGGAAACCTAGTCACAAAGAGAAAGCCTCTCGCATAAATAGTCGGGCTTACAAGGAGACAACACTCTGTGGGTCATGCAGCGTCAACAACCTGCACATGGCTTCAACGGGAAGCAGACTAGCTACTTCTCGAAAGGGAGAGACATGATCAAATTTTTTCAAACAGAAAATGAAACTGATTGTGGAGTTTTGGAGACGTTTCAACTGATGCATGTCTTCCTGAGAAATGCTGTTGCCATATGCAGGGAAGCAGTAGTAAAATACTAACAGTATTAGTGACTGCGCGAGCTGAAGTTTTGCACCCTCAGGCTACAATCCTCTGAACCTATACAAACCTCTTAGTCTCCCTAAGGCTCGCTGGGAAACAAAGGTGACATGATCGGAGAAATTCAGGTGACTGTCAATCACGACGCCAAGAGTCTTTGCCTTCTCACACACTAGAAGACTCCGGCGGTCGAGACAGACAGACACTCCAGCATCTCTAAGGTCTGCACTTGGTCCAGAGGCGCTGCATGCAAGACAGTGCACTTATCAGGGTTCAGTTTGAGCCCATTGACAAATGACCACTTGGAGATGCTCTCCAGGTCAGCCTTGAGTTTGTCAATTGCTTCTTTCACGACAACAGGCTCAAAAGACAAGTGCAACTGAGAATCGTCTGCATACAAATGTGCCATAGAGTTTTGTACACAGTTAGGGAAGTCAGCTGTATAAAGTGTGAAGAGAACAGGGCCCAAGCAGCTGCCTTGAGGAACACCCCATTGTTTGACGAGAAGTTCTGATGTCTCATTTCCAAGTCTAGTAACCTGTAGTCAGTCGATGAGATACGATCGAATCCAGGTAGTGATTTCAGAGCTAAATCCAAAATAAGCAATCAGCATGTCATGATCCATTGAGTCTAATGCTTTAGAGTAGTCAAGCATAACCAGTGAACTGTATCTACCTTTATCTTTGGCATCTATCATATCACTAAAGAGATTTGTCAATGCAGTACAGGTGTTATGGTTCTTTCTTAACCCTGACTGCAATTTAGGTAATATATGATTTTCATTAATAAAATCCGTTAACTGATTAGTAACTATCATTTCCAAAATTTTTGATATTGCTGGGACTAGTGATATTGGCCTCAGATCTTCCATTCTAGCTATAGATTGATGAAATATACGTGACCGTAAAAGATCTTCACTATTACGTCGTTAACGTATGAGATGTCACTCTATCCATCCGCGAAAGCGTAAGATGTCCAGCATTTTATCGCGACTGTGGGAGTCGAAGTCTAAGATCATGTCCGTGATAACTTGGAAGATCTTCACTATTTCGTAATGATTGCAGGAGACGAAGATGTTTCCGGGCTACCGCAAGATGTTAACTTTATCCATGGCCACATGAGACGCTCATGATTCAGGGAAGACGAAGATGATTCCGCTGCGATGGAACAGATGGAGATGGACGTCCCACACGCGTGGAGATGGCGCATGATGTGGACGATCTCTCCGCGACCGCAGCAATGTCCACGATTTTACTGTGACCTTAGAAGATCCTTACAATTTGGCGCAATCACAAATTTTGTATAAACCGATTATAGTACATCAATAATTAATATATGTAGTTTACATTTATTATTTTTAAAACTACGTGATTTTGATCCGATGCCCGAAGGTCAACATTTTTTACTCAATCTGAAAGAAATGAAAAATTTCTGGCCCCAACCTAAGACCCCTAATATTATTATTTTAAAAGTAATAGACTTATTTATTAGCTTGTTATAGAGTAGCTTGTTATTTATTAGCTTGGCGGCGGAGAGAAAGGCAATTTATCAGCTCCATGGGGAGGACCATGCACGAACAGAGGAACGCACCCGCACCTACCAGCTGTGGCAGGAGAGCTGGGAACAGGAGACTCGGGGACGCTGGACCAGGCGACTGATACAGCAAGTCCAAACTTGGGTTAATCGGCGGTGCGGAGAGGTGGACTTCTACCTCACCCAATTTCTGACGGGTCACAGCTTTTTCTGGTCATACCTGTTCAGGATGGGCAAAGCCGTGTCACCCGATTGCATATACTGCCCGGGCATTCCCGATGACGTGGAACATACCTTTTTCCACTGCCAGCGTTGGGAAAGGCCCTGCCTGGAGGCTCAACAGTTAGTAGGACTGCTGTCAATGGACACGGTCATACCGATGATGACGGAGGGTGAGGACAATTGGACCTGTGTGTCACATTACATCCAGGGTATTCTCTGCGCCAAGAAGCTCGACCTTGACCGGGATGCGGTGTAGGTCATAAAGTATCTAAATGCCAAAAACCGCGAGAGCCCTGAGGGCTTAGGTCACATGTTGGCCTGACTTGAAGTAATGTGACAAACAATTCCAGGTCTGTGTCCAACAGAGTAGAGGGGGTTTTTTAGTGAGCAGTCTGTGTCTCACACCACAGGCTGGCTACCTGTGTGCGTAAAAGCATTTTCCCTCCTCTCCCTTAAAAAAAAATTATTAACTTTTATTTTTTTACGATCGGATGGTTGCAAACAAAAGGTCAATTCATAGTGTTTAAACAATACAATGTGTATTTCTAAACCCTTAAGTTCCAACCTTCAAAGAATCAGAAGATAGAGGGGGCCTCCCTGGTGAGAGTCGCCAGGGGCCTCATCAATTCTAAATATGGCCCTGACTGTAATACTTTGAATGTCAACTTATCAGCTGTTAAGAGCAATTTAATCGACTAAACAATGAGTGAGTGATTAGGACAATAACTCGTTGTTGCATCACAATCAGTGGCAATAAGAGGTTATAAACACGAAAAGTGATTTTTTAGTAATTAAAAACGGCCGTAAGTAAACTAGTTTAAGCAACTCTTGTAATTAGCCTTTACGACACTCATACAAGTTTTAAAGGCACTTGCGAAGGCTCATACCTTAAACTTTCTAATAGTGTTGTAAAGCTTTTGGAGTGTATCTTGGCAGGATGTCGGGAGCATACGCCAATCTTACACGACAATGTGCCACGTCAAAGTATAGTGCTAGTGATGGAATTTTGTAAGAGTTGTACCTTGTCATAGGAGTGTGTGTTGTGAGGTTGAAGGGAGCGTACCCCAATCTTACACAACAATGTGCCACGTCAAAGTATAGTCCTTGTGATGGAAGTTTGTCAGAGTGGTACCTTGTCATAGGAGTAAAGGAGTGTGTGTTGTGAGGTTAAATGGAGCATACGCCAATCTTACACAACAATGTGCCACGTCAAAGTATAGTCCTTGTGATGGAAGTTTGTCAGAGTAGCACCTTGTCATAGGAGTGTGTGTTGTGAGGTTGAAGGGAGCATACGCCAATCTTACACAACAATGTGCCACGTCAAAGTATAGTCCTAGTGAAGGAAGTTTGTCAGAGTGGCACCTTGTCATAGGAGTGTGTGTTGTCAGGTTGAAGGGAGCGTACCCCAATCTTACACAACAACGTGCCTCGTCAAAGTATAGTCCTAGTGATGGAAGTTTGTCAGAGTGGTACCTTGTCATAGGAGTGTGTGTTGTCAGGTTGAAGGGAGCGTACCCCAATCTTACACAACAACGTGCCTTGTGAAAGTATAGTCCTAGTGATGGAAGTTTGTCAGAGTGGTACCTTGTCATAGGAGTGTGTGTTGTCGGGTTGAAGGGAGCGTACCCCAATCTTACACAACAACGTGCCTTGTCAAAGTATAGTCCTAGTGATGGAAGTTTGTCAGAGTGGTACCTTGTCATAGGAGTGTGTGTTGTCAGGTTGAAGGGAGCGTACCCCAATCTTACACAACAACGTACCTCGTCAAAGTATAGTCCGAGTGATGGAAGTTTGTTAGAGTGGTACCTTGTCATAGGAGTGTGTGTTGTCAGGTTGAAGGGAGCGTACCCCAATCTTACACAACAACGTACCTCGTCAAAGTATAGTCCTAGTGATGGAAGTTTGTCAGAGTGGTACCTTGTCATAGGAGTGTGTGTTGTCGGGTTGAAGGGAGCGTACCCCAATCTTACACAACAACGTACCTCGTCAAAGTATAGTCCTAGTGATGGAAGTTTGTCAGAGTGGTACCTTGTCATAGGAGTGTGTGTTGTCGGGTTGAAGGGAGCGTCCCCCAATCTTACACAACAATGTGCCACGTTAAAGTATAGTCCTAGTGATGGAAGTTTGTCAGAGTGGCACCTTGTCATAGGAGTGTGTGTTGTCAGGTTGAAGGGAGCGTACCCCAATCTTACACAACAACGTA